CACGTTTCGGTATCTTACTGTCTATGTAGTGTAAAACCTGTAGGAGGAGTTAGGGTGGCAAATTTGGCTATAATAAGAATAATATATATGTGAGATAACATTAAGTGGTCTTGCTATGCAAGAACACTTAATAACAAGATATAAATATAGGGGAAGGGGAAAAGAGACACACAGAGGGGGATTATAAGACACTCAAGGAGCTGTAAAAGACACACTAACAGGAAAATGGTGATGTCACGGCACGCCTAGGGAGGCTGGTGCCCTGCGCAAACTCACCAGACACTACATGGATTTGTTTTGTTGTTTCCCTAGAGTACAGTACCAGATCCTGCCTGAAGTTTTCTGATTACACTCATATTCCTGAATATTCTGAAATAACCCCTGCCTGTCTGGACTCTGGTAATACTCTTTGCTTCTTGAATTAACCTTTGGCTGTCTAGACCCCTGCAATCCTGTCCCTGTGTGGGTTAATGCCTGCAACCCCGTTCCAGCCTTGGTTAACCCCAGCAACCCTGTTCCAGCCTTGGTTAACCTCATCAACCCTGTTCCAGCCTTGGTTAACCCCTGCAACCCTGTTCCAGTATTGGTTAAGGCATGCAACCCTGTTCCAGCCTTGGTTAATGCCTGCAACCCTGTTCCAGCCTTGGTTAACCCCTGCAACCCTGTTCCAGCCTTGGTTAACACCAGCAACCCTGTTCCAGCCTTGGTTAACCCCTACATCCCCGCTAAAACTTCAATTAAGCCTTTCATCATTTACCCAGTGTTGAAACTCTGGTAAAATACTTTTTCTTATCTTAAGGACTTTTATTTCCTATGAAGATATTGCCTTATTTTCCGCTTCTATTTTGCATTGGGACTTTTTCTTTATACTTTTTTGCTCAATAATAAAAACCTTAAATTTAAAGACGGTGTCTGTCCAAATCTCTGCGTACTGAGCCCATTCTCCACAAAAAGGGGTAATACAATCAAAAGAAGGGGTTCAGAGAAGATGCACAGGTGAAGATGCATTCGGGGGGTGGCAGCTAAATGCATCTTTGCACCAGCCGTGCTTCTACTGGATTTGTTCAGAGTGAATCCAATTAATATTTGATATTTGTCAAATATTTGTTATTAATCTTTACATTTAACTTTGTATTGCAGACACTGGATGGTACTGAATGTGATCTCATTTTTTTAAATAACTACATTTCTATAGGATTTTCTTTTAGTAAATGTGATCATTGCAAATTCAGTTGCAAAACAGTTATTTGTTACTGACATTTGTAGTTAATAACCCTGAGTGGGTATTCCAACATATACAGACAATAAATCCCACATGGATACATCAGGCAAAATATAATAAGAACATCTGCTCAAGCATCCACCAATGAACAAACATCTATAAGGTTTTGCTATATAAATATGTATAATTATCTATCAGGGTTTTTACTAAACTAAAGATAATTGAATACCATATGGAGGCATTCAAATAGCAAAGTTTGGACACTGATCACAGTATGACTTTTTTTTTCAGTTAGAGGTAAATTATGGATGACAGCGCTCTATTGCCACATGAGTATAGGGCCATTGGCAGGAGGCAATGATTTTCTTCCAGAAGCATATTCTTGGCATACTAGAGGATGGGGGCTTTCATAATGGGGGCATTAAAGGGTTACCACAACCACCATGACCACTTCAGTGATTTGAATTAGTCATGGTGGCAGGGGCGGATTGACTACTCAGGCAAATCGGTCATGGACTGAGGGCCGGAGGCAGTCAAGGGCCCGGCTGGGTGAACAGCTACGCACTCTCTCTGGCTGGGGAGATCAGAGATTTCTCCAGCCAGGGAGGCAAAGTTGCACATCAAGCCTCTGAGGTGCCCCCCTCACCTTCTGAGTGAGACCTGGCAGCAATCTTGCTGTATACCAGGACTCTTCTATCCTTTTCCTGTGCAGAGCTACGGTATGAGGGGAGGAGGCTGGGACCAGGGGAAGGGAAGTTACATCACTTCCTGCCCCCTCCTCTCCTTCTTTCCTTCTGAGTGGCTGAAGCAGCAGGTATGTAAATAAATCCCATAGTCCCACCTTCACTAACCTCAACCCCCATCTTCCTCAGCCCCAGGCCCTCCTCCACCCACCTCAACCCCCATTTCCCTGAGCCCCAACCCCTTCTCCACCCACCTCAACCTCCATCTTCCTCAACCCCAGGTCCCCTCCACCCAACTCTACCCCAGGCCCTCCTCAGCCCCATCTTCCTCAGCCCAAGGCCCCCTCCACCCACCTTTGACCCAGGCCCCTCTCAGCCTCCATCTTCCTCAGCCTCAGGCCCCCATCCAACCACCTCTGCCCACAACTCCCTCAGCCCCAGGCCCCTCTCCAGCCACTTTAACCCCCATCACCACCCACCTCTGCCTCAGGCCCCCATCCCCACCTCCCTCATCCACAGGCCCCCCTCCACCCACCTTAGCCCCAGGCCTCCCTCCACCCACCTCAGCCCCCATCTCCCTAAGCACCCACCTCAACCCCAGGTCTCCTTCCACACACCTCAGCACCAACTTCAGCCCCAGGCCCTCCTCCAGCCATCTTAGCCCCCATCTCCCTCAGCACCCACCTTAGCCCCCATCTCCCTTAGAATCCACCTTAGCCCCAGGCCCCCCTCCACCTACCTCAGCCCCTATCTCCCACAGCACCCACCTCAGCCCCCATCTCCATCAGCACCCACCTCAGTTCCCATCTCCATCAGCATCTGCCTCAGCCCTCATCTCCATCAGCATCCGCCTCAGCCCTCATATCCATCAGCATCCGCCTCAGCCCCCATCTCCATCAGCACCCACCTCAGCCCCCGTCTCCCCAGCACTTACTTTAACCCCTATATCCCCCCAGCACCCACTTAAGCCCACCTTCACCCATCTCCCCCAGCACTCACCTCAGACTCAATCTTCACCAGGACCCAGCTCAGCCCTTACCCCCCTCCACCCACCTCAGCCCCTGGTTTCCCTCCACTCATCTCCCCTTTACTCACCTCAGTCCCCATCTCCCTCAGAATCCACCTCAGTCCCTACCACACCATTCACCCTCCTCAGCCCCCATTCCCAATTCATCAACCTCAGCCCCATCTCCCCCAGCACCCACCTCAGCCACCCATGCCCCCCTTTTACCCCCACAGCTCCTATTTCACCCTGTACCCACCTGAGAACATATACCTCCCTCGTCCACCACAGCCTCTATCCCATTCTGCACCGACTGTAGCCCATATACCTACCAGCACCCAGTATAGCCCCTATCACTCCTGCATCCACTGCAGCCACTATCCCCCCATGCACCTACTACAGTTCATATTCCCACATGCACACACTGCAGACACTATACACACGCACAGACAAACTACAGCCTTTAAATCCCCCACACAGTAAAGCCTCTATTATCCAAACAAACACTCACTACAGCCCCAGTATCGCCCAGACGACTACTATGGTTCTATCCCACACACATACAACAGGCCCTACCACACACACTGCAAAACATCCAGCCATCTCCATCCACATACTACACTGCAAAGAGACTCATCCACACACGCAAACCCACCAGGAGCATCACTGTAAGCAAGGAATACCACAAGAAGCAATGCCACACATGGAAAACCCCATGCAGCCTCCCCAGCATTGCAATACTGCACACAGCCTCCTTACACACACACACACAAACACACACAATTATTACAACCATTTATATAGTTCCAACATATTCTTCAGCGCAGTACAATAGATAAAAGAATACAAACAATTCTAACACATGTTGATATATAGGAACACAACAACACAAGCAGCATCCCACACTGAACCCCACTAGTAGCCTACAAACACATGTGTTTAGAGGCTACTTGTATGGACTTGTACAATTAAAAATAACTGCTGCTTGTGATGTAACCAACAAACACAGAGGAAGAGTGTAATTACATTTTCTTTATTCCTTTATTTTAGTGGGGGGGGGTCGAAGGCTCCCACCCACTTTTTGCTCGTTCCTACCTCCTGCCTGGGAAAATGTTTCCCTCCTTCCCACCACCTGGCCAGAGCATGCACATGCCCTCTGAACTGGTAAAACAGTCCACTCACTGTTTTCTTTCTAAAGCCTGTGTGTGGCTGCCAATCCTGAAGAGGTGTGGAAAGCAGCACTGCAAGCTTTGCCTGGCACTGGATTTCTGATAAGTAAAACATACATTGAACTTATTTTCAAGCCTTCTTGGGGGGACCCTATGGAATGAAAAAAAGGGTAGGAGAACCCTTTAGGGTAGTGATTAGTGGCAGGTCCAATGTCTCCATTGTTATTATAGTGTTAATAATAGGTGTGGACCATTGGGTTTTCCCATTCTTAGTCATTATAATATTGCCCCCCACAATCTGCCCATGGTAGGGGTTTAGGTGGATGACCAGTGCCAGGTATTTATTCACTTTGTCTTCCCACCCAGGATTATGAGGGATTATGAGTGATCAGTGTCAGGTTGTGGGTTTTTTATTACATATTACTATTTTATTAAAAAGTCAAGTCAAAGCACAAGGATGTTAACATTTGCGCATTGCTACTTAATAATGTTATGACATTGTTTACTAATAGCTATTTTCATATTTGTTATTACACCTTCCATATGTGTTTACTGTGTCCACAATGCCTCTCCTTGAGAAGCATTTGATTGGTTACTGCCCAGCATGAACAATGATTGGTACTGGGCAAAATGGACTGGATCCACTTAGCTGTCAAACTTGCAGAAGAAGGATTCTAGGGTTTTAGGAAAGTATTTGTTTTAACCTAGACTGTCTGTTCTATTTACTTGATGGTTGCTTTTACTGATTAAATAAGAACCTTTGTGATACAAAGGGAGAAATGTATTTGTGTGTTGCAAAGTGTCTGTGGTGCTCACATTATTCCTAGTTAATGCCTTGAAATCTGCCTACTTTGCTTCAGGCAATCCTGTTACATAAAAAACATTGTTTAAATGATTATGTTAAGTACTTTGCAATATTCAGAATCCAAGCATTTCCTAACAGATAAGAATCATGGTACAAGTGTTCGGTTTCCCCTCATATGAATGCAAACTTTTTTTGTGTGCCTCAGTATAGTATGGGCAAGGAAGGAGGAGTGTACCGTAACTGTCTAACTTTAGCCTGAAGACTTGGTTAGAGTTTTCTGAGTGTCTGCCTCACAGCTGCATTCATTGAGGAGTAGGGAGGCAAGCAGGGGAGAGGCGTCTCCTCACTGTCTTCTCATACAGAAAATGTTTTTCCTTTACCAGTGGATAATGGCTCACAGAACTTTGCACATAGTTTTCCTAACTTTGATGCTCAGTGCATGCATCCAGGCTCAGAAACAAACAGGTACTGTGAAGTTATTTTGTGTGTGTCCACTGTCTTTCTGTGTAGAATACAATAACTGTGCCTTCAAATTACTGCTTGCGTCCTAGATCTCAAAGACTGCTTAGCATTCTTCTGTGACAGCTGAAAACAGCCTTGTGCCCTCAGTCTGTGGACTATGCTATGTTGTAATGAAACAGAATGTGTGACAGTGACAGCTACAATGTATATGAGTGTGGACTAGGTTATCATTCTAGATATCTTGGTATTCAGTTTGTTTTTAGACTTTGTATTTTATAGGGATTTTAACTCTATGATTGGATTTACCTTGTGTGGTCCTTTCAGGGATTTAGTATGTGAATAATATTAGTTATCAATTTCATTATTTACTTGCTGTTATCCTAAAGATTATGGTAAAATCTCATAGCTCTAATTATTACCAACACTTTATGCATGTCAGTTGTTTATTTCCAAACATAGTCACTGGCTGAGTGGATTTTGGGATTAATCTTGAGATAGATTTATCACACATAATATAATATAACTTTAAATTGTATTTTAACAAAAGAGACATATCTTAAGTTACAGCAGATATCTGATAAAAGACTCCTGATTCTTTTGGATTTTAAAATCCAGTTCAATCTGTATTGTGATATATAAATTATTTGGCATACTTAAGGTTACCAGATTTTGTGTAATGCAGGTTCTGTGTAGGTTTTTTTCTTTTTGCTTTTTTTTGTTATCTACTATTAATGCTTAAATATAATTTTGAAAACTTTGTTTTCGTTTAGAAATGTGTAACTTTGCTTATAGCTGTCGTAAATAAAATTACATTGGAACAAGGTGTGCTGCAGTTTTATAGAACTAATTCTACCTCTAGAAAAATTGATGAGCTGATACAGATAAAACCTTAGCTCTACATTCTGGATATCGTGAAACGTGATCATAGGAACCATAGTATAAATTGCCAGTATAGTCAGGATTGCATTTAAAGTGTACCTGTTATGGTGCATGCAGCTCGGGCATTTAAAGAGCATTACATTTTATCTATATGTTTTGCTAAGGGAAATTTGAGCAAATCTATGGATTTTAATTTAATGTCCCTTAAAGTTTTGACCCCATTCCTCACCTGACAAACATCCCTTGGCCTGTGTGCCAGTGCATATACCATGGTGCAAAACATCGAGGGCTAGTGAACCCTCCCAATAGTACTTCTCATATCTCCTATCATTGGGCTATTCTCTAACAAGCTTTTCTTTGGAAATCTTGGACACACTGAGGATGATGGGCTGCCAGTGAAGTCAGCATGTTGGCATTTCTAGGTAGGATTGCCCTGCTTGGGTACGAGGACAATCATAGCAGAAGGGAATAGCAGGGAAGGGTGGGTGTTCCAACATTTGAACACCCACTGACATGAATTGCTTCACTTTAAATACCATTTAGGCACATTTTTTATTTTTTGAGTGAAATTGGAAAGCAGTTATCTTTTGGTTTTAATGTTTGGTTTTGTCTGCATGCGCCATTTTCTCATTTATACAACTTTTACAACTGTCTTCTTACATTGCTGTCTCTTTGATGACTTTTTATATTGCACCAAAATAATGCAGCTTGTTAGGTTACCATAATAGGAACAAGCCACTTTTCATGCCAATATGTCGCCTTTAGGTTTTCATACAACATATGGTATCTGGGTGGAAAACCCTTACACCAGGTTTTTCATGCATTCATCATTTCTGCCTCTGGACTAACTTGATACTTTGTACACATTGTTGAACCTGAATAATCCATCTTTTTTGCCTATCTCCTGGGGATTGTTCCATTGATTACAAATGAGTAATATGACTTAGAGAAATAAACGGTGCATTCACAATTAGAAGAATTTTCTATACATTAAACTAATTGTAACATTGTGAAAGCTGCTAGCCGTTTATGAATAACCTACCAATCTTACAGTGATAGAAAAAAATATCAGAAAAGAAAAGTGCATTTTCTCTTTTTATACATTTGAAGATGCACATTTAGAAAAGAATCTGCAATAGAGCAAAATACTAAAATGACGGAAGAGAAGCAGTAAGAAATATTTTGGCGCAAATAAGAGGATAACTAGGCACAAATTAGAAAAGCTTGCCATGCATATGCATTAGCCCTCCATTGATAATGTCGGAGGAGGCAAAAGGCAGACCCAGTGCTAAGTAAAGAAAGTGCTTTTTAACCTTTTCAATGCCATTAGATGGAATGCAAGGGAGGGGTGTGACAAACGCTCCTTCCCACAAACGTTTGCCACGAACTCCTGGAAGAGTGTGGAAGCTGGCCTTCTATCCACCAACTATGGTCCAGGTAAGAGACACCATTCCAGAGTTATCCTGCAGAGCCGCCATTAGCAGCTTTCCCTGGGTGCCCCTGGTTCGGTACTTCGAAAGGAACAGCTCCCTGGCTGTCGTCGCATGAACCAAACCCATGAATGGTCATCAGCGGTACTTAGCCATAACCGCTATGGAACCAATTTCGGCATGAGGACTTCGTGGGTCACTGGTCACCTCAGTGGGACTTAGCCGCGAATATTATGATACTGATTTTGGCATGCGGTTCCCGGACAACTTGATCCAGGGTTTTGAACCACTTTGCAACCCGCCAGGAGAGTTCTTTTTGGAGGGAAGTTGCCTGAGACTAAGGGAAACAAACTAACTTAGAGCCAGGTGGAGCACCCTATATTGCAGCTGTAGGAGCTCCCAAAAGTTGACAGGCAAAAGCACCAAACGCCCTGGAACTATTTTGGACATAGGACCACGTGTGCGGCCGGTCAGAACTTTAACATGGTGGTGTTTCCCATATTCTGCATGGATATGAGCACTTTTTGGAAAACTTGCTAAGGAAAAGGTGCTCAGATTAGGGCTATTTCAGAATGTATTACTTGTGTGGTTATTGTATGTTTTTATTATGTTTTGGGGTACTTTTATGTTTTTATATTTTGTGTTGAGCTCTCTGTTCCTGGGTGAACATTAGCTTACAAGTCATTAAGTCAATTATCTCCCAGGCCCAGAGATTCCTGGGAGGGGCTTGTGTTGAATACAATGGAGACCCAATGCTGGGGTCTGTTCATAAAAGTTTGATTTTGGCTCATTAAAATAAATTGTACTCCCAGAACTATGTGTCATCTAGTTACTGGGAGGGGAAAGTACTAATCACTGCTCAGCACCTTGTTCCAGCTCATGGAGGATTCGGCGGGGGAAGTCCTTGTAAGGACTAGAGCTCCCAGGACTGGGAGGGAATAGAGCTAGTCCCCTATCCTGTTACAGGATGGAGGGGCTCCAGGAGGACCCCAGTCAATCCACAGTGCCCGGGACGAAAGAGTGGCAGTTTTCTCCGGTGCCAGCTAGGAAGCGATCCTTGGCAGAGGTACCCAGCCAGGGTACTGGAGCTCCACTGCAAGGGGCACAGATGGAACTGTAGTGTAAGAAATACAGCATTGTAATCATTACACTATAGAATCCCTTTAACAAAAATACCTCCTAGTTAGTGTATACCTTTAATATGCAATTGCATCACAATTTATGGGCACATTTATAAGTACCATTTTTGTGATATTACAAAACTAAAACAAAGTATTTTTTACTATCTTACATATGACAGTCACTATGCCAAAGAAACAGATTCAAAATGGAGCAATTTTCCTCCACAGTAAACTGCAGACAGCTCAACACCATAACGCAATTTTCCAGAACATGCTACTTAACCCCTCTACCATCCACCGATGAGTTTCACTGAGATCAATGTGGACCTTCTCCAAATTGTAAACCTTGAATAAATCTGGAGAAAATTCAACACCATAACTTCCACTCAGGTTTATTGCAGGTTGTATTGACCAACAATGACATGTTATGATGCTTGCAGTCAATATAGCAACTACAGACATTGGCAGCCTCTGTAAACACCGAAAATAAACATTGAGATCATTAATTTGTACCACAACTTTGTCAGGTGGATGATTAATAATATAGGATTGCATACGGTAGCCCTTCTTTGTCGTATCTTAATTTATATATTATTTTGCCACAAAAAAGTACAATCACTAAATTTTATTAGTTAAAGGATTGGAAAATGTGTAGACCTGACTAAAAAAAGGTGCATTTTTTATTGCATAGAATTGCTTGGTTACTGAATTTAGCTCCATTTTTTATTTATCTATTGTGTTTGTTTATTAATGAAATCACTGGTAGAATAAATAGTTTAACAGATTAAAGGTCCAGCATGTTTATTGCCACTGAGTATGTTTTGGCAGTCAAGTACATTTTTCTGAAGATTTGTGATTCCATAACATCACTAAAGAATTTTTATGACTGTCTTCTGTTGAAAACTGGAAATATGCAATGAGTCCGCATCACTTTCTCCAGCTTCAATCAATCCAGCTCCATTACTGTTACATTTCACATCACCATTTTTTGATACTCTCAGATGTGTACAGATCAATATTACATCAATTCATCAAGTCAGAAACCATCTCATAGACTTGAAAATGACATCTGTACACAAGTTCAAACCAAATATGTCTGAATAGTTGGAGGATTTTGGAAAAAATAATCCATATATTCAGAAATCGTGTTATGTCCTAAATGGTTGTAAACTCTCCATTTTATTTCTATAGTTATTTTCATTCCTATCTTTCGATATATCAGCTTATGTTTTAAAACTACTTTATTATTTAATTTGTTTTAGTTAATATTAAAAAAATTGCTATAAGATGCAACATTATAATTTATTTGTTATAGAAATTGTGCCTGTGGATATTTTCTGTTTCTTCTTAAAAAAAAATTCTAAATTGAAAATTTTGTTTCAGACCTCCAACATTCGGCTCCAACATATGATGGCTCGGTTGGGCCAAAATTCAGTCATGAAAAATGAATTTCAGCTGAACTAGACACGAGTGTTAATCATCTGGCAGCTAGCCAGCTTCCACATTAAAAAGACTAATCCCCATACCCCCACTCAAGTTTTATAACTCTCCGAGCATGCAAGTGTGTGAATGACTAATAAAGAGTAGGCATCCATTGGCTGCTTGCTGTAATAAAAGACTAGTGAGTGGTAGCTA